TTTCGTGTGCAGAATCGTTGCGAATGCTACAAAAGGCTTATGGGGAATCAGTTTTATCGAAAACTCAAGTTTATGAGTGGTACAAAGCCTTCCAGGACGGTCGTACGACCGTCGAAGACATTTCGCAACGCACTACTGAGGTGAACTGGTTTCAACAGCTGCCGTAAACGAACTGTCTGACAGATCGAGCTCATTTTTGGCATAGTAATTAAGGACAGTGCTGCCAAACTACATAAACTTAAAATATCGAAAAATATACAGCGCGCGAATTTTAAATGAGAATTTCCGAAAACTTTTCAGTCTTAATGTATAATACAATCATTGAAGAAATACATTTTAGCGGATAATGTTTATGACCATAGTAAATACCCTTGAACGCATTGTAAAACCATATTAAATTTCATTAGCTTTTCCTATAAATTAACTTAAGAATTATTAGTGTTCTCGTAAAGAAAAATTACCTAAAAATAGAATTCTTTTATGATACTACATCTAAGCTTAATTGTTTTTATTATCAGGTCAATTCTTTTGAACTAAATTTTTATTTGACTATAATAATTATCATTAATTTTGCAATACTTTGATAGTATTCTTACTAATTTAAGTAAGATGTTGCCTGATCTATACGAACGTCTAGCAGTAACTTATAAAAAGATTCCCTACACTCTGCTTAATTAGTTATCTAGAAAAAAGGAACAAAGAGAAGTTTCTTTTTTACCAACTTCAGATTCAAGAAATCTAAATTTAATATTAGAAAATATTCATTTGCTAAATAGCTAGTTATCCTAAATTTAATCCTCATATCTTGTGAGATAGAAATCTTATGTAGCCTTGTGTTTCATTGAATATATAATGTTGTAGACTTATTGATCTGAGGAAGTATTATTTTCAGTTTTTTCACTTCAATGACATTGTTTCGCATTCTACTTCTTCTTCATATATTGTCTCATTAAGTATTTCTTTTTTCTGGGTCTGTATGCAGGTTGATAGGGTTCTTAAAAATTAGTTGGATCTTAGCGCAAAATCCCTTTACATAGCACTTAAAGACTTAAATTCAATACTAACATATCTTTCCAACTTCAACAATAATTATATATTTTAATGAATTTCGAATTTAACTTATAAAATTGAAATCATTTTGGGAAATTCATTTTTGCGGCAATCAGTAAAGGTAAAACCATATATCCGATAAACTTTTAGCTATCCATTGTGAAATATTTAATCCTGGTCATTAATTAATGCTTATAATTGTATAAGTATCGGGGCCCACATATATCAATATAACTTAATTCTCGTTAGTTTGTCTCCAAATATAACTGAACATAACTAAACATAACTTAATCTAAAGCTTAATCGAACTTCTATAACTCGAATTTTCAATAACTTGAACTGAAAAGAGTGCAACAGGGTTTTAGGGAGCAAATTACATACAATTTTGCTTCCATAACTCGAATTTCTCTATATGATACTCCAATTTCTGAATAATACTTCAACTGATGATCACTATAAGGTTTGGAATAAATTGGAATCTGTTGTTACTGAAAATAAGAAAAAGAAATTGAAATCTAAAATCCTAATTTCTGCATATTTTATTTCAGAATAACTTCTGTGCTGTATTTGATTTCAAATAAATAAATAAGTATCTTAAAATGTGATTCTAGTTTCTTTGAAAAACAAAAAAAGATAAAAAATTCTCTAACTTGAAGTCTACATAAATCGAATATTTTCTTTGTAAAATGGTACTTCGAGTTATGGAGGTTTGATGAGTGTATATTGTGAGGACAAATTGTGCTAAATAAACTTTCACGTCCTGAGAGTTTCATATTAATCACTTACATGATCTACAGTTATTCATTATGATTCAGTGATATATTATTAAATTCCCCCTTTAATTTTATTAATATAAAAAATATTTTTTTTGATAGTTTGATCTGTAAGATTTTTATTGAATAAGTGAAGAGAACTCAATTAAGTTCTTTTAAATACGTTTTATATAATTTTACTAATAATGACATTCATTCTTATTACAGTCTTTGAATAATATTTTAATTGATTTATTAAGAACTTCAGTCGAGGAAAGTATTTCATTCTCACTTTCAGAGATTGATGTACTAAAAAACCGCATGATATAGTAGATATCCATTATTTTATAAATAAATAATTGATATAGTGATATTTCTGGAACTATTCAATTGTAAAGAATGAACTCAAATAGATGCTTTCAAATGTTTTCCCTATATTTTTTCTGTTCATAGCATATGCCTTAATGTATATAATATTTATTTAAATAATTAATAAATCTTTCGGTTAATTTAATAATATAAAGAAGTCTATAATTTGTAGGTTATAAATAAATTAGTTATATATACTAACTTCTGCTAATATTCTACTAATCCAAACTGTTACAAATATTCGATAAATTCGAGATGTATTAGTAAATTGTAACTCTAATCCTATACATGGTTCTTTTATGTGTATCCAAAAATCTAAACCATTAGAGACTTTTTTAATGAAAATAGAGGATTCAATTTGGCACTTGTTTTTTTTTTCTTCCTTATACAATTTTATATAATATTTATTTAGATCACTGATTCATTAAAATGTATGTCTTGTCGGTGAATTTAATATGATTAAGTATGTAGTCGATATCCTTAATGTTTTAAATAATTTCGTGATGCATTAGTAACTTTTACTAGTATTTTACTAATACGAACGATTACAAGAACTCGATAAATTAGAGATATATTAGTAGATCCTTATCCTAATCTTGTACACATAAAGGAATTAGTGATATATTCAATTAGTGATATATGAGTAGACCCTACCCGTAATATTTTACATTAAAAAGAACTTTTTAATGATATTCTTAAATATCAAACCTTTTAGAATTTATTAACAGATACTTATTCTAATATCATATACGTAACAGAACATATATCTAACAATTTAAACTGTCAGAGATTCATTTCGTGAAAATAGATAACTCAACTAGGCACTTATGAATGTGTTAGTAATAATTTTTTGATATCCATGCATGGTGAAGTCTAGTCGACCTATATGAAATTCAGTTTCATGAGATTCCCGTATAAAGTAGCCAATGGATTTTCATTATTTAATTTATCAATTACTGATATAATAGTAAGCCCTTTTTAAAGCTATGACCTGATTTTATTAAAATAAACCTTTTATCAATTGTAAAGTCCAGGCAGTCTATGTAAACCCAGCTTCATGAGACCTCCGTTTAACGATGGACGGACGGATAACGATTGTTTTATGAGGAAATCAGTCCTGCCCAGCATAACTATAAAAACCATCATCAAACATTTCCCATTGAATTAATTTTTGGTATTTTATTATAAAAATATATTAAAGTTTTGTTAAAAATTAATTATTACCCCGTCCGTCCAATTTCCATACTCCCATACCTTCGTTTGGCCATCCAGTTGATGTGTATTTGTCCATATATTTGCGTTATAGAGCATATCATTTGTATGTCTGTATGTATGTGAAGTAAGTTGCAATTAACGCGTGTATATTCTGCATTTAAATATCATTTTTATTTCGCACTGAAAAAGAATTAAATATATAAATATATATGTATATATATATATATTTTCATAGTGTCAATATCTGCTTATACTGATTGGTGAAAGTGAAAAAAAAAAAAATTAAAAGTATGGTGAACTAAAGGAGGCGCCAAAACTCATATAACGCACACCACAAAAGAAATACAAACATTTTCACCATTCAATAGGTTAATGTTGTGTTGTTGTTATTGTTGTTGTTGTTGTTTGTGTTATTTGTTTTGCTATCTTTGCACGTCAACCCCACTTATTTTTTTACATATAAATTATTATTGATGTTGTGTTTTTTCAACATATTCAACATGTTGATGAATATAATTCTGGGTACCCACTTTTTCACTTTTTTATATGCAATAACTTAGTACAAATATATATTTCAACTCATTGACGTTAAGATCATATCATAATATCATATCAATATCTATCAATATCTAATATTATGTATTTTAAAAATTTATATATTTTTGTTCTGTAAACCAGAAGAGCAGTTGGAAAAATTTATTATTCCTAAATTCGGTTACGGTACATATAGCTTACATTGAGTTAATGCAAGTACTTTTTTGCTACCTGCCTGACAGACGATATTTTAATTCGCGTATTTTGTTATTATATTTCCAGAAATACACCCGCACTTTTCTATTACCTGTAAGTGATAGTTTTGAAAATATGTTTCGCGAAATTTAACTTAATGAAATTAGTATTTTTACAGACGAGCTAAAGATCGCATGTGCATTATTTCGCGCTTATTTTTTGTAAAGTGACAAATTTTTAATATTCAACTTACAAGATATCCATTGTTAATAAATTAATACTAAACCTACAGGATTTCCAGTGATAAAATTAAAATAAGAAATCAAAACTGACTAATTAGTTCTGAAAGAAAATTTTATACCAACTATAAATGGTGTTGTCCATATAATTAATATTTTATATTCATTTCACTTAATGGAATTAGTTTCTTTACGGACAAGCAAACGATCGCATATACTTTGTTTCGCGCTTCATAATTTTTCTAAAATTAGAGTGAATATTTTATTAATCTAGCAACAAAATTTTAAATATTTAACTTTGAAAAGTTTTGACGTTAATATTTAAAACCCAACTTTAAAATTTTTCAAACGACAAAAATTGTCTAATTCAGTGCACCGATTACTTTTGTGCTTTTATTTCTCACAGCACTAACGCGAGAATATTTTGATTGTGAACTTTTTTATTTACTTTTCTTGTATATTGGATGGCACTTCATATGTTTCATTCATTAACATACATATAAAAAAATAATATTATATTTATTGTGTATGTGATATAGTTAATATATATTAAGCAAGCTGAAAAATAATATTTATAAAATAAATATATTATATTATTTTATATTTAACAACTTTAATTAATAAAATTATTAATTATTTATTGTAGCATGGAGGATTACGAGCGTCGACAGCGAAGAGAACGTGAAAAATCGGAACGACAACAAGTGCAGACTGTTGATCGTGAGCATTCATTATTTTCTGAACCCAGACGTGTGAATCCCTCAGAAGGTGATGATGATATAACAGCCAAATTGGGTGATTACTCCAAAGCTAAGGAATTCATTAGCTTGTATACAGTTGGTATATCAAATTCGGGCCATGGTCATATGCCACCAAATGCTGTCCTACCGGGTATTATGCCAACAAGTGCCTCTAGTGGTGTTAATTTAGGTGGTAGTATTGGTATTGGTGGTATAAATAATAATGGTAACTCACAAAATATATCATCAACGGGCGTTGCGTCAATAGCACAACGTTTACCACCGTCACAACAACAACCGCCACATCACTACCAACAACAACAAACACGTCAGCCTTATGTTAAGCAGGCTGATAATAAACCACCATATAATGGACGTGGCGGTTATCCTGGCCAACCAGTGAAGAACGATTTACGTTCAAGTAGTGGTATGGCACCACCGAAAGGCCCACCACAACAAATAACACAACAATCAATGTCGTCCTCCTCAGTCACTTCTGCAACAGCAGCAAATACGACGTCAACATCTACAGCGGTTGGTGCAAATTCAAATCTGTTTCCACCGCCATCATCAACACTCATGCCAAATGGACGCCAGAATGCGTCAGACAAAACTTTTCCTAAGCCAAGTCAATCTACGTTTTCAACTGCATCATCAACGACGCATAATGGTCGATTCTCACAACCGCAGATACCAAAAAGTCGCCAAAAATTACCACTAGATGTAAGTATATAAATTTTTTATATTATAATTTATATAATCATTATTTTTAAGTAAATATTAAGGCAGTTTATAAATAATTAAACGCATATATTATAAAGATTGATCATTTAAAGATTGTTTTTATATAATATTTAAACCGTTAAATATTAAATCAAATATAAAATTTGTTGAAATGATCAGTTAATTTATATGTTTGTTATAAATTTTATTTAAAAATTTAGTTTAACTAAAAATTATATGTGGAACTGAAAATTTATATAAAGATTGATTATTTAAAGATTATTTTGTATATAAATAATTTAATATTTAAATAATCAAATTACAAAACAAATATTAAAATCGTTGAAATGATAAATTAAATTATATTTGCGATATAAATTTCTAAATTAATTTCTATTTGTATAATAAATACTTAGAAAAGAAGCAAAATAAATTGCAGTAATGTATAATAGCAACAGACGTACCTTTAAAGACCAATCAAAATTTAAAAGAAGTAATTTTCTATACATTACATAAGCAATATAGAGTGAGATGTAGTCATTTATGTTTGTTCTTCTAAATGATAATTTCTATCTGCAGTGAAAACTCTGTAAAATGTACATCCCCTTTAAGTCGTGCTATCCAGCTTTCATTTTTCATGCAAAGTATGTTCTTTGCATGAACGGTGTGTCCCTTTAAAATAGCTTGCAATGTATTATTAGAATTGTATTTTTATTTTATTTGATTTATTTATGACATATCAAATAATATATATTATAAATCTGTTTTAGAATGATATCAAAAATATACTCAACCTTATGACAAACGTATTTCGTCCACCTGAAGCACCTTTAACGTTGATTGCTGCAACGCCCCATTCAACAATTGTAGAGAACTATAATTTAAATGGTCCTAATAAGCATAAATATGCCTTCATAGAGCCTATGATACCGCCTACAACACAAATACCATCGCCACCAGATGGACAACAACAGCAGCAACAACAACAAAGTCAACAACAGCAACAAACGTCTCAGCAACAAATTCAACAGCAGCAACAACAAACACAGCAGCAACAACAACAACAAAACCAGATGCTTCAACATCAGCAACCACAGCAACAACAGCCAGTGGCAACAATCAATTCTACTATACCATCACAAAGACCAAAGGAAAATTTAAAGCCGTTAAAAACGGAAAAAGTCACACCAACATTGGAAAAACAAAATTCAACGTAAGTTTGTGCTATAATTGCATATAAATATATTCATAAGATATTATAATTACATATATAATATACAATAATAATATAAACAATTAGATGTTAATATAAATCTTTCTTATTTAATTATAGTCTTGAAAACGATTTGGAACTTTCAGAATCTGATGATGATCGAAAGAAACAGAGGTAAGCATTAATTATCTAACATTTACACATACAAAATAGTAAATATATAATAAATATTTACTAAATATATACTTAATGTATACTAAATATATCCTTTTTATATGTCAGTCGTTCAGCATTGAATTCCAGTGATAGTTCGCAGTCTGATTCCAGTGAATCAGGTAGTGAAGATTCTTCCAAAGGTGAACAACAGCCGCCGAAACAAAATCATCACCAGCATCAGCAGCAACAGCAATCGCAACAACAATTGCTGCAACAGCTCAAAGTTCAACAGCAGCAATTATTGCGACCACAACTAAACGCCAGTGCAACCAACTCTGCCAGTGCAGCTGCATCTAAAAAGAAAAATAATCAATCGCTGAACACCGAAAACTGTAATAATAAAAATTTATTAAATAGCAACAAAGCATCGTCTCCATCAGATTCAAATAAATGGAATCTGCGTTGCTATATCACTCAGCACTCGCAAAATGACGCTTCGCCAGCTTCAGTTGTTAATTCAATGAATGTTGGCCTGAATGTGCCAACTATGATGTTACCAGGTGGCGCTCAAATCATACCAGAACCACCAATGCCACAACAGTTGTCTGCCGCTAATAATAATTCTCAACCGAACACCACAATTGTTAAAAACGAACGTATTGCTGAAGATGATGAGGATGATGACGATGACGAGGATGACGACGATGATGATGATGAAGAAGATGATGATGATGAAGACTGCAATGGTAATGCTAAAGCTCCAACTAAAGAATCCTTTCACCATTCTAATAGCAGTGGAACAAAAGGTTTTGTTGGTCGGAAACCGCATGGTTTAAGTGTTACACCATTAGCACCACTAATTGATGATATAAAAAAGGAAGTACCAATACTTAATTCTGCAGATTTCGTTACTATTCCAACAAGTCAAATTAAACATGAAACGCCTACAGGTTTGGCAATTACAACTGTTACTCAGTTTGGTACGCGTAGTCCCACAGATGCGAATCAAAATGATGATAAAAGTGTGCAAGAATTGCGTAAAAAAGCTGAGGAATACGCACAGATTGAAGGTTTATCTGCGCTTTCAGATAGCAACAGCAGCGATGACGATAAAACGGTCACACTACCCATTCCTGGACCAGGTGGTACTTTGCAAATACCAGGAGTTCCAGCCGCAATTACAGCACTCCCACGCTCGCCACCACATCAACATAAACCACCACCAACGTTGCCAAATTCTCTTATCGTAACAATTGACACTTTACCTGCATCACCAAAAGTACGCGGTAAAAAGTCTAGAAAAAAACCAAAAAAGTCTTTACATTCAACAAATGGTGATTCCAGTGATGAAGAGCCCGAATTTACTGCAACACGTTCATCAAATAATACAGTATCACTAAAAGTAAACAACAAAATGCATCATGAAGCGTCAAATATTTCTGATCTTAAAATTACTGTGAAGAAAGGACGTGGCCGACCACGTAAAAACACGCCAAACCAAAGCGGAAATATAAGCTCAGCTTCATCCACAGCAAAAGGGTCGTCTTTGACCGATAAAAAAGATGTTGCAAAAAAATCGACAGGTCGTAAAAAAGTATCACGACAAAATTCCTCAACATCATCAACGCCTCAAGAAAATACACCAATTAAATTGAAAATTACAACAACCGGTGCACATACTGCCAAAACGCAGCAGATAGTACCGCCTCGTCAGCCACAATTAATTGTAATTCCCAACCCTTTATCAAACTCTGTAATACCAACAAGTGAAGATTCGTCATCATCTTCTTCCACATCATATTCCACTTCAAAGTCATCGAGTTCCTCCTCCGATTCTGAAGGAGGTAGTGGCAATTCGGGGTCATCATCTGAGGATGAGCAAGTAAATAAGCATGAAACACGTTTAAAATCTTCTTTGGTTAATAATGCAACTACCACTGCAACAAATACACAAACAACTCATACTGCAGCTGGTCGCCGTATTGTCAAACAACTTAATAAACGTAAATCATCGTTAGATGATGTTGCGTCGTTACCAAAAAGTGCTAATGGCTTACAAACTTCAGGAATTACGACAGCCAATGTCGCATCAAAAAAACCACGCACACAACCTTTACAGAACAACAAAATTGCTTCATCTTCATCATCATCAGATGATAGTTCAGCAGAAGAGTATGTTTCTCAGCCTGAACCGACAAATGTAATTGCAGGCGTGACAACTAATACACAATCAGCTTCTGGAAGTAGTTCACATCGTTCGCAAAATCAACAATCACCTCTAAAGCCTACTGCTTCAAGTAGAAGTCGTGGTTTATCGTCATGCTCGTCGTCATCATCCAGTGGTGAAGAAAACTCGGGCAGCTATTACAATGTAACCAATAAAAAAGAAAAAGTAAGTAACTAAATTATGCATTTATAAACTAAATTAAATTGTATATATTTTTATAAATATAAATCTTTCTTTTTACTTTATAGAAACGAAAACGTGAGAAACCTAAAAGTGATAAAAATAAAATAAGCACTTTAACACGGATATTTAATCCACGAGAAGGTGGTGCGAAAAAACAAGGTCAAGTGGTTATAATTGACCAATCCGAAGAAATGTTAGTAAAAGAACAACATCAAGCGCAGCAACAACAGTCACAACAACAACAATCCCAACAGCAGCAGCAGCAACAAACTCAACTTCAACAAAAACATATATCACCAAATGCGGCCTTTAAAACAAGTCAAGAGAATTTAACACAATTAATGTCGCCTGCCTCTTCTACAAATATTACCCATTCATCACAATCACCACGCATTACATCTGGTCAAATGAAATCACCACGCAATCCAGTGTCATCACAATTAATTCCCCGTCGTACGCCAGATCGTTCAAGTTCAAGCGCTGAACGCAAGTCACAGCATCGGATTAAAACGCCCACTCGAACGCCAACACGTACACCGCCAAATACACGTACCCCAACTCCTACACAATCAACTACTACAACACAGCTTACGTCTACAGCGCCAGCTGCTTTAACCTTTACTAATCAATCTTCACTTGTTTGTTCAATCGATCTCTCGCGATTGCGACGCATTCCTCCTGAATGGTATGTCAACAGAAATCGGGTGTGCACACCAGGAGGTGGACACACTCCATCTACGTATCATATAGGCGCTGGACCGCCTTCAGACCGCACACCTATTTATGATCATGAAACTATTTTGAATGCTGACTTGCAAGCAACACAATTGTCACAGAGACTGAAATCCCGAACGGCTAGCAGAAGCCACAGTACTTCACGCAGTACTGGCAGCCGTACACCAACACAACTTAATGCCGCCGTTGCCCCAATAGATCGTGAACTATCACGTTCTCGTGAAAGCCTGCCCGAAGGCAAACAAAGACTGGAAGATGTTAATAGTAACGGTCGTAGTAGTCGGTCAGTTGATGGTCCAACAACTCCAAAAGATCCACAACTTTACAATACACATGGAGTTCCATCAGCACATTTAACACCAAACGGTTACACACCGAGAGGACTTTCATCTTCACTTACAAGCGGTGGTAGCAGTAATGGCAGTTCACCATCAACCAAACTTATAACTGGCGTGAAACCAGAACGTATCAAATATGAGATTGACGCAGAGGCATCATTAACACCGACCAGCACACACGCTTTTAGCAGCGAAACTAAATTCAAAGCTAACAAAACTGCTGTTAAACAAGAACTTAAACCTGACTTAAAACCAACCGAGCTCGCCCTATCGGGTAAACTTTTAGATGCCTCAGTTACCAAAACCGAAAGTAAATCACGTCGTAAACGCAGTACCAGTTCAAGCTTAAGCCCATATAAGGAAAAGAAGAGGAAAAAAGAAAAAGAAAAAGAAAAGGAAAAAGAAAAGGAATCCTCGTCTTCGACCAATACAAAAGAAAAAGATAAAGACAAAGTACGTGATAAGCATAGCAGTCGTAGTAGTAAGAGCAAAGGAAGCAATGGACAAAAACAGGTAAATATCCATCATCTCAAACCAACAATATAAATTAATATATATATATTTTTTATAGAAGGAACTGCAAGCATTAGGTCAACAGATGCAACCCACAAACCACGATCGGTTATTGCACAATATTAGCACCTCTAGTCCTGCGCATTTACAAAACACCTCAGTCAGTGCAACAACAATAATGCCACCACCATGTAGTGCCAATTTTGCTGGTGCAACCATTGCAACGAGCACAACGACTACAACTATTCTATCGGTACCACAAGTTATATACCGCTCGTATTTTGAACGCGATGACGGTGCTTTAACAGACGATTTTAGGTAAATATAAATATATGCTGCAATTAATGAATTATTAATTATTATTGCCTAAAGTACTTATTTATTATTATTACCTTTATTAATCTGTACAATTTCTTTTTATTTTGTTTTAGCAAAAATAACAAATTCCTACAAGAGGCTGTTAGTAGAAAACATGCTGCAGATAAGGAGACTGATGACTTCAATAAAGTGACATTATATCTGGAGGCTGTGGTGTATTTTTTATTATCCGGTTCAGCAATGGAACAACACAAGCATAGCGAGGATTCCGCTTGGACCATGTACAAGGAAACATTTACTTTAATTAAGTGAGTAATGTGAGATTGTTAATATCAAATTATTATCAATACACTATTATTAATGCGTTTTTAATTTATTATTAATATATTTCTAATATATTATAAGAACAGTTTTAATATATTTAGTATATTATTAATGTGTTATTAGTATATTTTTAATATATTATTAGTATATTATCAAAGTATGTTTAATACATTATGAACATATTATTTTATAACAAAATTTATATTTGAAAGTGTTCACTAACTAACAAATCTTAAATCTTATTTTTACAGATTTATCTCATCGAAATTCCGACACTTACAAGAATCGTCATCAAATGGACAACTGGAAACACTTAATAAAGTTGCTATCCTTAGGTAAGTTGTGCATTATTAATATAAATATCAAATAATATTAATAATTAATATTAATTAATAATTAATAATTCATGTAATTATAAATATAATTAATTTATTCATCTTTTTGCAGCCTTCGTTGCCAGTCGCTAATCTCGTTAAAACTATATAAAATCAGGCGGCACTTCTGTCACAGCATTATTACTGTATGCAATGACTTCTTCAAGAATGGAAAAAACAGTGAAGTTGTTAACGGCAATACTCAATCGCCATCTAATTCGGTAAGTTAACATATTTTATAATTTAAACAAATTTGTTAACTATAATTTTTTTTGTTGTAAATAGTACAAATTTATTAACTGTATTTTTCTTTTTAACTAGGGTACTGGATCCAATACACCACCTGGCAAAACTGTGTCTCAGGATATACTCTCCGCTTTAATGCAACAAAATCAATTTTTTAGTTATGTAGCAAGTAGTCATGAATTATGGGATGAAGCGGATCGATTAGTTAAGCGTGGCAACCATACTGGTAAGTTATAATATTAATATAAATAGTAAAATTTAACAAACTAAGCTAAAGAAAAAGTAGTTACGAAACAAAGTTCAAAATGTTTGATTAACTGTATGTACCGGAGTGATTTTAAAATTGAAGAACTAAGCAATGAAAATGAGAATAAAATAATTTTTAAAACATATCTTACTTCACCACTACGTCTTTGAAGGTTTCGATTTTTTGTTTTTGTTTTTGAGAGCTAATCCCATTAATAGTAATCTCAGCTAACAGCTGCAATGAAAATTACTATTTACAACTTTTTTTATTAAGATATATATTCAGTTTTGGTAAATTTGGAAAAAATAATCTTATTTTTTGAACTCTTCTTCCATGTCTCTAGTTAAACTAAATTAAATTAAAATAAATTTTATAAAAATAAATTAAATGAAATTAAATCAAATCAATTAACTCAAAGTAAATGTTTTTTACAAAAATGTTTCAAGTTTAATGGCTCTATATAAAACTGTTACTCATCTCTCTATTTATATATTTTCTTATAATTTAATAATATGATATATATGTATATCATATTATTATGATATATAAAATACAATAATATATTTTATAAAATATAAAAATTTTTTTAAACATTTGAGCTTTGTAGAAAACTATTTCATATTTCGTCAATATTTTCATTGCATTATTATATAATTCATATTGCATTTAAAATATGAATTTTTTTAAATTAAACCTAATATTCTAAAAACTAGTTTCTTTTTCTTTTTTTTTAGATTTCTTCATCGCACTCGATCACGAGAATGGTCCACTAACATTACATAGCACAATGTACGAAGTGTTCCGCTATGTGCAGGCGGGTTTAAAGAAACTTAAAGAAAATATTGTAGCTAAAAAATAATGTGTGCTCGTATATTAAGAAAAAATTAAACAATCAACATACGATACACAGCATCCTCACTCAATATACTAATTGTTATTAAAAAAAAATTATATACAATATTGTAAAAAAAAAAATCAAAACAAAAACAAAGTAAATGATAACAAAGACGTACCAGCAAGCATTAGAAATTGTTTATAAACAATACCGAAAACTTTAAGCGCCGAATGTTGGTCGTTCCAAGAATTTTAACTAATTTAATTCAATTATAAACTGAATTATATGAGTATATACATATAATATTAATTATATTTAGTCTAATTCGTTTGTTTTATATAAATTAATATATATATGTGTATGTCTATATATATTTTTATATATATATATGTTTATATAGGCATGTATGCGTAATCAAAAATTGTATTTTTTTAGTTATAATTTTAATATGAATTTTTTATTATGATGAATTAAATGTATATGTATATCAATTGTAATTATTTAATTTATTGCAGTGGGTATTGTAAAGAATTTTATTGTTTTAATTTTAATATATATTATTTCTTGTATATAATTTATACAATTATTGTTTTTTATATTATAGTTTGTAGTAAACGTAGCTAGCGGAGTTCATTATATTTTACAACAATGAATTCTATATAACATGCTAAAATGCGCAATAAGCTGCGACGTACATTTTGCATTTATGACTTATAGCTCTTGATGAATTGCCAGTTTTCCAACATATTTAATTTTATTTTTATTATAATTTTATTAAATTAAGTAATTAAGTTGCATGCTTTAAGTGCACAAATAAGGAAATAAAGTCGTTCAATGTACGTTGGCTTTGCTACATTAGCCGTTGTTAAGCCGAGCACAAAATTGCCAGAATAGAATTAAACGAAAATTTTATTTAAAAATATATCCCACATAAGTTTATGTTATATGAGGGAAAGTTATCAATATAGTTGTTATTGTTATTCGGAAAACTTTTTTCTTTTTCCAAATTATATGTATAAATATATATATATATATATATATATGCATGCATGCATAGCCGTTACTGGCGGCCGTACCGGTGCTTGGCATATTCATCAACGGCAATTCCAAATTTGTACGGTTTCAATTCGTGCGCAGCTTTTGATTATGAATTAATTTTTGTTATTATCGGTTAAAAGCGTACTGATAGTACGTTTTATACCTTTAGTGCCTCACTGTATTTTTTTTTTAATTAAGTATAGGCAAAAGATTTTCGTGCATTACAATTGTTATAAAAATATTTTGTATTTGTATGCAATCAGGCAACAACAACATTTTATTTAATCGTTTTTATTAATTATTTTTTAATATGTAATTGATGTACTTTATAAATATATTATTGTTTCATTGCAAAGTTAAGCAAATTGTATGATTTTATTTAATTTTATTTTATTTCAAACAAAACACAACTAATTTTAAATACTATTTAAAAATGAAAACTATTTAAATAAATGTTATTAATTTTACAAAAAACAAAACTTATTTTATAACTATTTTTTACCACCATTTTTGTTTTTCTCTTCTTAATTTAGAAAAATATTCTTTTGATTTTGTCTGATTTGATGTAATTAATTCCAATAATTCTTTAAAATAATAATTATAATAATCGTCTTTAAACATTCTGCAGATTCCATTGTTGTGATCTTTCATAGCTTTCTAAATATTTTCTAGAATATTATTTTTTTAAATAAAAAAGCTGTGATGATATTCAATAGTAATCATTTGGCTATTTAATGGCCAATTGATGCCAGAAATATTAACTGTTGCCATTCTACCAAAATAATTCAGTTTATATTATTGTGCTTTTATAGATTATACATGACCAATATATATATATAGATTTTATATCTATATATAAAATCCATAATCTATGAATTTATCTAACTTAAAGTGAACTTTATCATTGAAAATGATTTCATTAATAATAGAATACTGGTATTGATGATTACTTCTATATATATATATATATATATATATATTATTTCATGGTCTTACCATATCTGATCATAACAGTCACATTTTAAATTAACAAATTGATTGTCAGAGTCAATTAACTTTATGTTTGCTTAAAACTAACAAGTATGAAGGGCAAAGAAACGCAAAAAATATATAGTTCGGATTATTAAATTAGGTTTTTATTGTTGAGTGTCATACTGAAGCTGACTGGCACAAATTTAAGCCCACTTCAATGTAGTTTCGTAGTGGACATTATGTAAGATGCCAACGTGTCAGCTTCACTGGTTGAAATTATATTTCTGACAATTTTGTCAACTTCCTCAATTGTTGGCTACATTTTTTAATTCTAACATATATATTTTCTCATAAAATAATAAAATACAGTCTCCCAGACATAGATATTTTTGTGTAGTTAGTATGATAGCATGTACGCTACAATTTTATGATTGTGTTCGAATAAGATCACCTAAAGTAAAATTTCATTTTAGTGTATGTACTAAATAGTTAGTTCATTATAAATCTAAACTTTCTTTCTAGAGATATAAAAGCACCAAAACAACATGTCTACAGATTTTAAACGTAAGTAATTTACGTGTCGAACTTTGAAAAATATCTTATATTGCGTTATTATCCTATCCATGAATGATAGGAAAGTTCCTAAACCAATGTAGTGGAATCACAAAAAATTTTCTTTTGGTTCAAGTTTTTGTTAGCTATAATTTCGATTCCACAATAATCTAATTTCAATTTGCAACGGACTTACCAGTCCGTTAATAATATCTTATGACCAATTTGAAAACATAAATGTTGAGACATTACATGCCTTTAAATTGACGGTAGCAATATCGAAGTTATTATCTCATATGTTACCAAATAATCTGTATGAGTACAACCTTAACTATTTTTATATATATAAATATGTAGCTGTCTGTTTAACGAAGCCAAAAATTGTATTTGTTGAAGAGGTTTTGAGAACTGTTAATGTCCAAATTTGTCCATATCATCCCCTTGACCCGAAGTAAACTGTGCGGCACACGGACTCCATTTTTTGCGGTGTGTCACTTTAGGTTATCCTTTAACAGTCTCAGTTATTACTTTCAGCTGATGGCTACCAGATAAGTCACATCCGTTCGAATACTAATCTATCGATTATCAGACTCGTAATTATAGAATGATAATTTCGTAATTTAGATCTGGTGCGCAGAACTACAAAACTGTTCCGATTTTACTTTTTATCCACTTTTCGAGAATCTTTGAGACATAAAAAAAAATCGCGCTCAAAATCTGTTTTATCTTTTCGTATTATTAATTATAAATTAAAATAATTTGAAATATATGAAATATATGTCTAGCTAAAAATTCCTAACATCGTTTTTTTTACTTGAATCATGGAGTGTCAGCAATCTTTATATTCTAATACTTAACATTTTTTGTTATGAAGCTCTGATATATTATTAATGGAATATTAATTTTAATATTATTAAATTTAACGTAGAAACCTTTATGATGATCTGCATACACAAAATAATTTGAAGTGAACATATTCTTTACTAGAATATCCTTTACGGTTCCATGAACAGACACTGATGACTATAGTCGGCAAATAGTTTCATGGTTACCCACTTTGTATATCAATTTCAAAATTTATTTAATGCGAGGTTAATAAAAAACCTAGAAACAGAAGCTATATTATTTTCGACTGATTTTAAGACATGGTGACATATAAGTTGAAGTTACATATGAAGAATTACAGTATTTTTTAATGGAAAAAATGGTCTAAATAATTTATTTAGATGTAGTGTTTTTCTACAACTCTTCTCTTCTACTTCTTACCATAATCCTTTCTAAGCCGTCTTAGCGTAATCGATACCAGTTTCGAAGAATTAACAGCTATTTTTTCACCGCTTCATAAAAATGGAATAGTCGAAAATGATGGGAGATAAAATTATGTTCAACTGAAAGTTCACCGAATACCGAGTTTGTTCTGAACACTTTTCCTATTATAAGTATCGCTTGTCTTTTTGACAACAATATAATTGAAGTTCGTTATTATACAGTTCTATTAGTTATAAAAATAATTCTTTATTCCTATTATCTATATGTTTTGCATCTCTAAGACAAAAATTTAATTAATAATTATAAATACAAAAACTAACGCATATATATTAGAAGTAAATGGTAGGTAGTGACCAAATAAAAGAAAATTTGATAGACATGCTTACAGATAAACGAGAGTCCCTTCATCACTAAAGAAATAAATTATAAATAAAATTATACTTTTTTTAAAAATTTTAATCATTATTATTGTAAAAGGTACTTATTATTTAGAGTCTTTCAATTTATTTATAGAATATATAATCATTACATTTTTTTTTAAATTATTATTCTAATATATCTTCTCAACACATACATTTGTTACACAGCGTCATGTAAGATTTATATATATTATAATTACATATAATCTACACATTTTATGTTTATATTACAGTGGCATCGCGGTCTTAACTTGTGCTCCCGAAAAACTTGTAGTAGAACTCCACTAATCCGGATTCCTTAAAATTGGGGTGAATCCGGATTACTGAGACATTCGTAGAACGGTTGGTATATACTCATACTAAAAATCTAGAAAAAATCTTATATAAATTTTATATATTTGCTTTAATACAGTAAATCAGTGATCGATCCAGACTACAATGTACATAATGTGTAGTTTGTTTCATATTCACTGGAGATTCGGAACAGTGGAGATTTACTGTTTATTAATAAAATAAACTTAAAATTTAGTCATAATGGGTACAAACTTTACGCCCTTTCGCGGGTAGCATCTAGAACATGATAAACCCTTTTGCCCACCTTTTGCTATGCTACTGTTATATTATTGTATATGTACTATTTTGGCCATGTGTACGTTGCCTGTTGTATTTATAATATTATATTTTTATGTACTTATATTATGTTTTATGTTTTTACTATTTAAGTATTTTACTCTAAAAATACATGCTTTTAACTTTTATATTTTTATATAAATAATAATTAATTAATAAATTATTAATTAATTCGTTAAATTTGTTGAATTTATAGTAGAAAAATTGAATTTTTCAGTAATGAAAGGAACTCAACATATTTTTTTTTTGTGTAGAATGTTTTGCATATTTGCAAACTATATTAAGTGAAATATTTTAAGAAATATATATTTATATCAATAAGTATATAAGAATAATTTTAATATGAGATCATATTAAAATATGAATATAACTAGTTAAATTCACACATTTTTAAATAAATTTTTAATTAA